CGTTTCTCTATTACCAAGTGCAAGGCTGGGGTAAAACTCATCCACTTGGCCCACTTCCAGCTGCAAAAACAAGCCAAGAAACGCACAGCAAATGAAACTTCCAACAATTGCCAGTTTTGCTTAGACACGTTGCAATCTATTGACAACAGTATAGGTCAAGAAGCTAAGACCATAAGAAATCAGTCAAAAATCAGAAGGTGAGTTAAGTGTAGATGCCGTAGCTGATACAGCGTCAGAAGAAATTTCAACCTGTTTTGGTAAGTCTAACTGTTGTCCTACAACAGATGGCATTAAAATGGAAATACGTAACAAGTTACACGGTTCAAACATTCCAAGGTGAAATGAAGAACCCACAACAGGAAGAACACGGGAAAGATGTGAAAAATCCGGAAGCTGTAAGGCATAAAGAGATTAATGTGCTTGACATGCTTGATCCAAATGGCTCTGAATCTTTGACTGTAAGTCTTCACAAGTACTTCCACCTGTGAAAGATGCCACTCCCAAGATTACTTCAAACCCGTCTTGAAAGAATACAAAAGCCATTATCTCTCAGAAGATGCTCCACGGTACTTCAGCTGAGATTGCTTCCTGTAGTCATGATGCAGCAGAGCAGAAGGGTGAAAAAGGAGCTGACATCATGAATGATAAAGTGAGGCAGAAAAAAAAATAAAATTCATGAATTGTCATTATCCCAAGCCATACAAAGGTCTCACTCCTGCAAGAAGATCCTGGCACTGTGCTCTCAGATCAGACAAAAGTATTGCAACCATTTCTGATCCTATTGCTTTTAAAAAGAACAGTTGTCATGCCTGCCCTGTACACACATTCCACATACAAACCAAAACCAAGATACAAAACATGACGCTGACCAGGGCTCTTTAACTGCTAATGTCAGAAACAGGTATGTTGAGGTCAAGGAAGGAAATGAATAAAAAGGCAGGAGGTTTCGCTGCTTTCTGGACTACCTCCCTTAACAGTCAGCCACGTTGAGGGAGCTGCAGTGCTGCCTAGACTGACCTAACATTTCTATATAGTCATTTCACGCTTTTTTTAAAGCTTGTTAGACTGTGAGGAAAAAAAAAAAAATCCTTGTGAGCAACGTGGATATTTGTAGTTTTTTAGATGCTATTAATAGCATTATAAGCTGATGAACATAGGTTTAGTTTCTTCCTGACCATAAGATAGATACGTTAGAGCCTTAAATAGCTTATTCTGGGGATGAAGTGCAACCCCTTCATTTAGATTCACTCCAAATGACTACCATAGCCTAGTGTGGTAATTAGGTATTTGATGCTGCTGAGCAGTGAAGCAATGCCTAACTTTAGGAACATTCTTAAATCCGTGCCTACTCCGCAAAGCATTTAAAAATATTAACTTAAACAGTGCTAAATCCTATTGAGCTTCACAAATATTGGCATATAATCCTGCTAATTTGGCACTTAAAAGACATGGAAATGACCTGGAAAGCAGACAGTGGTGGGACTGACAATTATTTTTTCTTACTCATTGTAAATAAATTCATTTTTTAATCCTGTTAATGTGTTCTTTGCTTGTTTCTCTTTAATATGTATTCTGTGCATTCTGATACTCACTTATTCTTGTTTCAACTCATACTAAATGAGGGACTTTCAGGTCAAGCTCTCTTTTGCTTCTGTGTTAAACAAAAACCAAATTAAGTAGCGGTCCTTCCACAGATACATAGGTAACTGCAATTCAATTCATCATTCAGGACAGAGATTCATTGCAACTTACCCTTCCCCTCTTTTGATGCTTTGATAAGAATTTTGAATAGGGAATGATAATACCAGTGCAAGGCTCCCAATAGCATATGGCTTCCACTTTAAAACAGATGGAGGAATTCGGTCTCTTTCTAGATTTGTTTCTTTACTAATGTGCATAAATGTGGTTTGCAGTAGTTTTCTGGCATCAATTTGTTAGTTGTGTTCATCTTCAGGTATCTCAACACCGGAACTAAAGAATAATCCCCTTCTAGAGGCACAGCTTCAATAAAATAGGTGATACCTATTCTACGTATCTAAATAATTATGTATTTATTCCTTTAAAAAACTGGAAGGATGACATGGCTTCATCTCTTCACCTAACACTCACGTGAAACGACCTCTAGAGAAGAACGCGGAAGCTGAGTGCTAGGGTTAAATAACAGCTCCGAGCAATTTGTTTTGTCTCCCAATACAATTTTTCCTGGGAATTGCCTAGGGAAATCTGGAAATCTTTTAGAACACTCATTTGTATAGAAAGTATGTTATGATTCTTTAAGCACCGTATCTTTAAGCAGAGTGGCGTATCAGCTTGAGGTGCAGGGTATGAAAGTTCTCGCCCTGGAGGTTAGAACAGGGCCAACATTTTTCTGGCAGCAAACGTGATTTTTTCAAGCGAGGGTACGTCTGTACGGGGGAGAGGAGTGCCACCTATGGAACGCAAACAAAACAAGCACCTGTGCCAGAAACAGCACAGGGCTGCTGCCAGGATTACCGTGTTCCGCATGCCTTCACTCTTCCTGAAGAACAAAAGCTAAACATTGCAATCTGAAAACGGCAGTGATTTTTTGTACCTGTTTGGTTATAAAGAACCTCCTAAAACGTTACAAGGATCTATTAACAAATAGGTCATTCTAGCTGATACTCTAATCTACATGCATCTTCTATCTCTTTCAATGCTCTGGGTATCTGAAAATACCAGCCCATGACTGTCTGGAGTCAAGCTCCATCTTCGTTGGTAATTTCCATTTTTTTGTCGTAGTAAGGACGTCCTGACTGCTGTTCAATTATGGCGCTACAGGTACGCAAGTGCAGTATGGTTCTGACAGAACAGACACCCCCTCTAACATACCATTTTCTTCCCTCCTTTTACCCTTCCCCCATGGTAATATGTTTTCTAATCCTGCTTTTCATATTTAGATATAAAATGCAACCTCTACAAAAGAGGCATCCTTCACAAATAGCCCCCAGATAAATAAATCCATATATACTCGTTTCAGTCCCGTTTTCCACTAAATAGAAAATTCAAAGATACACGTGTCTGTGAAGCTAGTAACATTTTCCATAGCCTAGAAGGAAAAGTCTCTGGATAGGCTCTCCCAAACAGATAGTCTTTTCCATTCAGACAACTGAAAATACTGCTGCTTCAGTGAGAAAACTGAAAAATTAACTGCATTACCAACTGTCAGTAAGTAAAGCCAAACTTGCTCATTACAGTAATTCTAAGTTGCAGCCATTGCAGACAGGTACTAAATTCTTTAGGACTGATACCAGATGAGCTTTCTAAGAACCACATTCACAGACTGTTGCTACAAGACCTGTAAGAGGAGACCGTAAAAGCTGCTAACTAAAGACCCAGAACATGAAGAAATGGATATGCAACACTTAAGCCATCGTAAGCCTGATCAAGTTATGTGCCCTTGAATACACTGGGTTCTTCTAGCACAGGAAACAGCAGCTTCTTGTTTACGTGTTAATTCTCTCAAGAATAAAGCCATTCCCGGTCAAGGAAAGGAAATAAACTTAAGGGCTAGATCAGCTAGAAGTGCTTCCTGTATTCAAGGTGCCAAAACAAAACAAGCAGAAAAGGGAATTGTTGACAACAATGTAGAAATACAATGATGGAACACCTGAAAGTTAAATCAACTTTTTTCCTCTTTTGCTCTAGGTCCAAACTTCCAAAGGACTGATTCCAGAGGATGCACTGTCAAATCCCGAGGCCAGAAAGAAAATCTGCCTCTAATCTCCTTGTTTTGACAGGAAACAATCAGCCTGCCAGCATGCAATTTCTTTAAGTGAAGGAAATGCAGGAACTGATAGCAAACTGGTCAGGGATGCTTTCACTGCCAGCAGAAGTAAGTGAATTCTCAGCAACAGCAAACAAGGAAGTAGTTAAAAAATACATGAGGCTTCCCTGATCTCTAAACCGCCATTATCTTCTCAATCTGTTCTCAATCAAGAGTTAACGTTTGTCCTGCCTTTTAGACACTCTACCATTTGCGAAAGTCTCATGAGGATCAGCCTGCTAAAGTATTGTCCACGGGCCAAATCTGTTCTGAATAATGAAAAGCCTGA